AGGAGCTCACTGATGATGAAACTGATGCCGGAGATTCGGCGAAGGACAACATTACGGAACAGGAAGCTATAGACGTAGAGGAGGTTGGCGGAGAAGGAAGGGATGGGAACCCAACCGGCCAAAACACTGCAGATGCCGAGGAAGAGCTCCAAGGAGACATAATCATTGTCAATACAGGAGAAGCGGATATAAGCCCTCCTGGGGTTGAGGAGAGGCTTAGTCCTAGCAGCGACACTAACTCGAGTCAGCCGAAAACAAGATCCCAGATTCGGCGAGAGGCCGTGGCACTGAAAAGAGAAGCAAAGCAGCAAGCAGAGCTGGAGCGGCGACTGAGAGAAGAACAGCAAATGGCAGGACGTCTCAAGAAGCGAGGGGAGAATGGGAGGAAGGAAAGAGCTATGATAGCAAGGACGCTTCTTCAGCCTAATGCGGACATTTACGACTTCGACCCCAAGAAGCTTACCTTTCGACAGGCGATGGAAGGTAGTGAGAAGGACAAATGGGTAGGAGCCATAGATGAGGAAGTGCAGAATCTCATTCGACGACAGACATTCTCGGAAGAAATCACTGAAGATACAATGCAGGGGAAAGAATTAGTCGATGCGAAGCTTGTATTTGATCACAAGAAAGACAAAGGTGGCAGGATACTACGGTACAAAGCACGCCTAGTCGCAAGAGGCTTTACACAGAAGCACGGGGTCAACTACGAGGAAACCTTCGCACCAACGATCCGACTCGACGCAATGAGGATAATTCTAGCTTTAGCGGCTAAGCAAGGCTGGAGGGTATACCAGATGGATGCTGTGGCTGCGTTCCTTGCAGCCGACCTAAAGGAAGAAATCTTTATGAAAGTGCCAACTGAGCTCCAGCAACATTTTGGAAAATATGTTCAGATTCTGAAGAGTTTATACGGATTGAAGCAAGCTGCAAGAATGTGGTACTTGCTAGTGTCGGAGTATCTTAAAGAGATAGGTTTCTCACCGATGGCGGTGGATCCGACGATATTCAGGCATACAGAATCGGGGGTGATTATCGGAGTACATGGTGATGACTTCATGATAACAGGGGGGAGCGAGGTTGCTATTGAAAAGGTCAAGGAAAAGCTGAAGGGAAGGTTTGAGATGAAAGACCTTGGAGAAGCAGAGAATATCATCGGAATTCGGATTCAAAGGCACAAAGGAAAGCTGACTATTGACCAATCACAGTTTGCGAAGGAAACCGTGGCGCAGTTTCTCTATGACGACTCGATGAAGCATTCAACTCCTATGGAACCTGAAGCTATACGGAAGCTCGTTGAAGAACCAGGTCGGCCTCTGAACCATGATGAGTAGTTACAATACGTGGAATTGCTCGGAAAGCTTATATGGCTGTGCAATACAAGATTCGACATTATATTCGCAGTTAACAGGATGGCGTCTTTTACGGTAGAGGCATGTTGGAACCACTGGAAGGCCTTGCTGCGAATATTGGGTTATGT